GGGGGGGGGGGGGGGGCGGCCGGAGGCTTTTTTGCCTTGGGCGGCAAAAAAACCAGAGCCGGCCCTGCCACCTTATAGTAATTTCATGTAGACCACACTTCCCTAGTTTGCTTATGAGAATGTCATATGGGACTGTCTCAAAATCAAGCTGTATCATGGCTATTGCTTCCCCTTAATCACTAGGCCCATAACCCTGTTAAAGAAAGAAATTAGGTTCATTTGGCAAGATTTGTTCTTGACAAATCCATGCAGGTTATTCCTTATAACCCTATTATCTACCTATCTGCTTACAAATTGAAAGACTGAGGGAATTAACCTTGCCTTAGCAATGACACCCATCCCTTCCCTGACTTGGTTTCTTTCCCCATCCTGGCCCATCTCCACCTCTAATTTCTTCCCTTCCCAGTTCAGTCAGTGAGACCTACCCCATCCCAGCTCTGTGTCTCGGGCCCCCCAGAGAACCATCTCCCTTTGCCATGGGGGCTAACAATGGGGAACGAGTTCTGGAGTCTCAGTCAGCTCTGGGCTGATGCGGCTAAGCTAGAGCCATGGGTGCAACCCCCCAATGCAGCCCCGCTGCCCGAGAGTCACTGTTTCCTAGGGTGGAATATGCATGGGGGAGGAAGGGGAAGATTGTCGGTCTCCATAGAGACCGGCCCCGCTGTCTTTTGGAGACAAGCTACAGACACTTGTGTCACACAGAGCTGGTGTTTCACTTCAGAGCTCAGGATTCAGAGCTGCTAAGCCAGCGCCAGGCCTCTCAGGCTAGTCCTTCTTCCACTCCTCTCTCAGACCCTTCTCCCCACCCCACAAGGCCATTCTCACCTGCAGACCAGAGTGGTCAGTCTCACCTGAGGGCTGGTGAGGAGGGTGGAGAGGATGAGGAAGAAGGGAAAGCAAAATGGTGCCCTGCGGGTGTGGAGGACGAGTCAACGAGGTCAGGCATGGCGGGCGAGGTGCCCACGGTCTGGGTGATCACCAGCTCCGGGTCCAGCACAAAGAGGTCGTCCTGGGAGATCTCCGTCACGTAGTTGAGGTGCTCCTGGAAGGCAGAGATCAGCCCTTCAGAGAGGTGATCCACACACCCCAGGCCAGTCACCCTGGGGAAACACCCCACCACTAGCGACCAGAGCAGCATTCAGTGGGGTGATGGCCCATGGCAGCTCAAAGGAACTGGCATGGGAATGGAGTTGGGACTGGTGCCCATGGCAACTTAGCAAGGGCAGCCCCAGCCTGCCACACACCTCTCCTTAGACTGATCACCATGACCCCAGCCAGGTCAGATGCTGCTGAACAACGATCACTGTGTGGAGTGGCGTCTCAATGAGAGATGGAAAAACCCTATCAGGGGCTCTTGTCTCCAGCAGAGCGTAGGTTGTGTCCAGTCTACTTTTAAGTTGTCGCCCCTTTCCTGGAAAACTCTTCCACAGCCTCACACATATCACTGCCAGGGCGTCTGCAGAGATTCCACTGGAACATCGCCTCTCCGAATCCCCTCCCAAATCTCTCATTATGACTATGTAATCCCTTTCCACCCTCAGCAGTTACCCCGGGATGATGTTTGCAGACTGTCTGCACACACTAAGTGCTCCTTAGCAACCTGGATGGATTCAACTCTCTTAATCTCTCCCTACAAGCCCTTGTTCATTCCTGTTGCCCTCCTCTAACGCCTTCCAATCTCCCTCTGTCAGCAAGGGGCCCAGAGCTGAATGTCACACTCCAGGTGTGGGTGCACTAGAACCGCACAGGAAGGGATCATCTCCCTGCATCTTGACGTGAGGCTTCTTGGCTTAGGAGACCCAGAGCTGACTCCAGGTGGGATCTCCTCAGAGCTGTAGATAGAGGGACTGGCCCCTCCCTATGCTGGGACTGAGGACTTTGCACCCCCACTCCCCAGAACATCCCTGGTGTTTTGCAGCCCTCTCACTGTAAAATCTTTTGCTTCCCCATCTCCTGACAGAGTCTCTCTCAGCCATTCCTGCTCCTGGCATTCTCCTCCCATTGAGGATCAAGGTTTCAGGTTATTTTTCCCCCAGCTGCAGGATCTACGTTTCCCCAGGCTGAGTCTCACTTAGTTGTTTCCTGCTCATGTGTCTAACATCTCTGGGTCCCTCTGGATTTTCTCTATCCTCTCTAGGGTTTACCACTCCTCCAGTTTCAGTGTGACTCATTGGTTGCATCATGCTCCTGTTTGCCCTCTTTCTTGATCATGAACAGAGATATTTAATAACACTTAAGTTTACACCTGAGATCAAGCCCTGCAGGTCCTCATGGACACCTTCCTCAACTCAATACACTACCATTTATCACCATTCTTTGTTCAGCTCCTTCAGGCACTTTCCAACCCACATCTCAGTGTTCCTAGCCAAGCCAACTTGCATTCATTTTTCAAGTAAGACTGTGAGACGCTGATCCTAAGTCTGGGCTATGTCCCAGCCACTTTACATCATTCCAGCAGCATAATGGACCCAGTGCCCAGCCAGATCTCCCTACTGGGAATAACCCAGTATAAGGTGGATTTCCAAGTGAGTAGGGCCAGCAGCATGATCCTCTGCTGTCCCCAGGAGTAGGGGTGTACCTGAGTGAGGGACGGGGTGTGTTTGGTTACGCTCTAAGCTCTAGCTATTCTGGGATGCCAGGCAGTCCCTAAGGGTATGTCTACACTATGGGATTAATCCGAATTTAGATAATTCGAATTTGGGAAACAGGTTGTATAAATTCGATTGTGCGCGGCCACACTAAGCACCTTAATTCGGTTTTAAACCACATTAATTCGGTGGTGTGCGGCCACACTACCCCATTAACTTAAACACAGTAATTCGGTGGTGTGCGTCCACACTAACCCTAATTCGAATTAACAAAAATCGATTTAGGCTCTACTCCGTTCGTCGAGGTGGAGTACAGAAATCGATTTAAAGGGCCCTTTAATTCGAATTAACTGACTCTGTAGTGTGGACGGGTGAAGGGTTAATTCGGATTAAGGCAGCTAAATCCGAATTAAAGTCCTAGTGTAGACCAGGCCTTAGGGACTGCTGTATCTAGGGTGCAAGTTAGAGCAATCCCTGGGATCACTCTGGTTTATGATGGTGGCTGAATTAGCTTCCAGCAGCCTCATAGTCCAAGTGGTGCAGAGGTGGCTAAAGTCCCCTTTGCCCGCATGTCCTGGGCTGTGCGGAACCCAGAATGGGGGCCACAGTCTGAGATACGTTACTTGCATCCAGTTATATCCAGCTACTGCACTGCCTCCCATCCTCTAATTTTGTGATATTATCAACCAGGGCAATGAGATCGGCATGGCAAGGCTTCTCACTAATCCTCAACACTGCCCACTGCTCCCGGGGAGCATTATCCTTCAGACCTTTCGTCAGTTTTTCCTCTCAATATTTCTTCCATTAATTCACTAGGACAGAGGTTGAAGGAGATGGTGAGGCACCTGAAGCATCCAATACCAGATGATCCCAGGGGTGCCTGACTGCAGAGGGCAGAGCACCTCTATTTCCCAGGGTTTACAACCTTCCTAGGAAATTGTATCCCCTTGTCCATAATGTAATCACAGGACTTGGGCAGCATGGGGACAAAGCACACAAGCAGTGGCCCTTGTGCATGCACGTGTCTGCATGTCTGAACACACATGTGCTGCTGGTCAAGTGTAGCTGCACAACAGCGCCTCGGTCCCCACAGTCCTGAGGCTGCACTCACCTGTGCGCGGTCTATCCTGTAAAACCGATCAGCTGTAGTTGCTACGAGAGAGAAAGAGAGAGAGAAAAACAGTGTGATTCCTGTCCCCAGAATCTGGCAGGAGACCAGGAGGCAATGGGACTGTCTATAACCACTGCATTCCACCCCTGGGCAACAGGAAACTGTTCAGCCACCTTACAACCCCTTGAGTGAGTGCACCCACGTAACAGCAGGGAAAACAGTTAACTCTTGACCATGGATGGCCCATCGACTTCCACAATGTGCCTTAAAGACACATCCGTTCTCTTCACAGACTACAGATCGCAGCACGCAACATTCCAGCCCGACTGAGCAACCAGCCCTTGTTCTAGGCCCTGATCACCATTAGGAGCAGGAGAAGCAGCAAGGTAAGGCAGGACATACTTGGCTACCTTCAGGCTGCTAGCCTGGAATTCCAGCTTTCTGGGAATTTTCAGGCCCCCTGACCTGCCTCCTGGGTCTCATGATTTTTGATGCTGACTCTGTGACACAGACATTGTACAGAGCAGAGCCTTGCCTGAGCAGGCTGTAGAGACGACAGCCCATTGCTTACATCAGGGGAGAGATTATTCCTCTGGTTTAAAATCCCTCATGGTCACTTTTATTGTGACAGAAGAACTGTGGGGACATGGAGCAGCCCAGATGGAGAGCTCAGACCTTTCTGTTCTCTGCTCTCAGGGACTTGGTGACACTACACCAGGGGTTCTCAAACTGCGGGTCGGGACCCCTCAGGGGGTAACGAGGTTATTACATGGAGGGTCTCCAGCTGTCAGCCTCCACCCCAAACCCCGCTTTGCCTCCAGCATGTATAACGGTGTTAAATATATAAAAAGTTGTTTTTAATTTATAAGGGGGGGGGTGCGTCGCACTCCGAGGCTTGCTGCGTGAAAGGGGTCACCAGTACAAAAGTTTGAGAGCCACTGCACTACATGTTTACATTATTGACTAGGGCTCATCACAAACCAGCACCAAGGCTCCAGGCCTTCTGTATTATCCCTGGCCTTGGCAGAGCACACTTCCCCAATTGGCCATGGGCTGGACATTGGTCCCTGTCCCCCAGGATGGCAGCAGTTTAAAACCAGCAGCCAACATCCACTCTCCCAGTGGGGGCTAAGAATTGTACCCAAGCGGGTCCATAGTCTGTCCCTCTGTCCTGGGATGCTTGTTGCTGTCTCTGCTGAGCAGCAGCTCGAGGGACAGAAAAGCCCCACATTGATATACTGGGGCGAGAGGAGCAGAGCGGACTGGGGGTGTGTGTTTGGGAAGCACTTTGCAACTCCGGGATGCAGCCGGTAACTATGAAAATCACAATAAAAATTCCAGCGAGGCGAAGGGGCTGGGGAGGGAACGGGGGCTCCTGAGCCTTGTTTCAATGTGGTGGAGAGGGCCAGGACCGACCAGGGTTAGTGGACTCCAGAGCTTTATGGGCATTTTCTCCATGGGCTCTGTGCCCCCCACAGGGCTGAGGACTGCTGCCCAGACTGGGGTTGCTATGGCTGGGCCCTAAAGGGACTGGGGAATTCTCTCTAGGAACAGAACAAGAATGGGGGGGAGGGGTGTCCATGACACAAGCCAGAGCAGATTAGAGGAGTGAAAGAGCCCCGTTTATCCTGTCCCTGCAAGAGATTTACAGCCACGGAGCTGCTAACGAAGGTCTGTAATTCAGCCACTTTAATGAGCCTGCGTCGCCCTTGAATGCAGCTCCAACCTCTTTCCTGGCACATTTTCCTCAGCGCCGAACTTGCTGCTGGGAAACCAGCGAAAGGAGGAAATAATCCACAGCAGCAGTATCTGGGAGCAGGGATCATGTGAGCGGTGCATGCAGTGGGATGTCCGCCCCACCCCCGCCAGGTTGGACCCCACACTCCCAGGAGACAAGGGACAGCACCCCTCTCACTTGAATGAACCTAACTTGGCTTGGCTCCCCACCACCAGCCAAATTCAGGGGGCAACGTCTGCACCCCTGCTGGGACTGCTCCTGGCACACACACCCCTCCTGGATGACGTGGCAGTGATGGGGCCAAGGTGTGCTCCTGAAATCAGAGATTTGGTGGGGAGCCTGGAGGGAGGCACAGCCAGAGGGAAATGAACACAAGGGAAACAGGGAGAGGAGCAGAAACTCCAGAAATTGGATAGGAAAGAGCAACCTATCCTCACAGCATCTGGGACAAGGCTCTGGCCTTTTCATTCCCCTGGTCCCTCCAGTGTCTCCCCTGGGGTGGGGTCAAATGCTGGTCTCCCCCTTGAAGCCCAGCTTGTCTATCTGCAGTCAGGCTCCTCAGGTGGTGTGGCTGGTGCCCAGTGAGTGCCTGGTGCAGCCCTGCTGGCTCTGAAGATCAGTGCAGTGCCCTGCTTGGTGCCCCTGCGTGAGCTTCTCTCTGTGTGTTTGGGAACTCGCTCCAGCACCATTACGAGGGCACAAAAGCCCCTATTGTCCCAGGCTGTGGGGGATTCCCAGGGAATCGCTCAAACCAAAAACAGAGACACCAAAAATATGCTAGTAAAAGTGAATGTGCAGCCTGGAGCTTTGGGAACAAAGTATCGACCTCGGGCGGGGGCAGAAAGGGGAGAAGGGGCTGAGAAAGGAGGTGGAACAAAGTCGTGTTTGTAAACAAGTCCCCACTGCTTTGCCCCAGCATTCGGGGGCTCCTGCAAACACAGTCGGCTGGGTCACAGGCTCAGCAGGCACTCTCCTCCTCCTTCTCCACAAGCACCAATGTACAGCCTGTAATTGAATGAGATGGACAAACGCATCTCCCACTGCAGCAGCTATGCTGCTCTGTAGAGCACCTCCTGCTGGAGAAGGCTGCCACTGCAGCAGCTCCCTCCTGACCAAAGCTCCGACACTATTCACTGCAGTGCCTCCTGCTGGGAGAATCTGGGACCAGCTCTCAGTTTTCACCTTCCCTCTCCCAGGCCCGCTTCCCCTCTGGTCCACACTGACTTGTCATTATCGCACTGGAGTTATTTTTCAGGAGCAGGGCTCCTAATTCACTTCTCCCCCAACCTCCCACACTCTGAACACTTAGTACAGAGCTAGGAGTACTCACTTGCTCTATTAAAGACCACAGTACTATTTGTAGTTAGGAAACTCCCCTTGGAAGTCATTGGGCTGGAGTGCCACTGGTAGTCCTCTCCCCCATACAGAGGGAGAATAATGGGCCCTTCTGATGGGTAGCACCCCGAGTACTGGGGAGGAGAAGGCTGTTTGCACGAAGAGGCCAGTCTGTGTCAGCCAGGCACAGAATGTAGCCAGTGGCTGCACTCACAGACCATTCCCGATGGGTACAGAAGATTCTGCAGTGCCTCCCTGAGGATGCATTCCCAGCCCGAGGGAGCCCCCTGTCTATCAGACACAGGCACAGCACCTCAGCCCAATCCTGGAGAGCCTGCTCCATGCACAGGCCAGAAGTAAGGTCTTGAGGCCAGGTGTACTGTTAGCAAACACTCCACACCTGGCAGTCTTTGCTGGATTCACATGACCAGCGGCAGTGGGCACAGCTGCTGCTCTGGGGGCAGGGAGGCATATTCCCTCAGCTCAGAGCTGCTGCACTCAGGCACCTAAGCAAACTGAGAAAAATGTAATGGGGCAACTGCCTGACTGCTGGGGAGCCACATGCAGAAAGCACCAGGCTGATGGAAATGGTGCCGTGGGGTGAGCCGGTCAGCGTGTCCCAGGGAACAAGCATTCCCAGAGGGCATTATTGGTTTGGGACTTTTGCTACATCCCTAGAGCGGATCAGAGCACGACCCCACCTCCCAGGGCAGACCAGTGCTACTGTACTGCATGGAGAGGATACTCACAGTCTAAGAAACACCACTTGGGAGACAGCTTCTGGGATGAAAGTGTCTTTAATTTGGCTCCATCCCCTTCCTGCACAAAGAGAAGAGAGTGACGTTTCCCAGCTCCTCGTTGTTCCCCGCAACCTTTCCTGGGGTCATTCCTGCACTGGGCATTCAGACAGGCTCAGATTTATGGCCCTTTGACAGAAGCAGTTTGCACCCAGGCGTGGCACGGAGACAGTGGGGCACATGGGGGCATGACACAAGGGGTGGGGAACACAGGCATGGCATGGGGTGCAGCTGGATACAAATCCGCCAAACTCACTGGGGAGGTGTCCAAACAAGCCTACAAGACTGGCACCAGGTACATGACAGAGACCCCCTGGAGGGGAGGGAGGTGGGTGATACACACCTGAAGGAGCAGGCACTGTAAAGAAGAAGGGCATGGAAGAAAATCCTGCAAAGAGGGAAGGGGGTGGGGTTACCACATTCATTCAGCTGCCCCCCTTCTGTCTCTCAGAGCCCGTTCTGTGCCCCCTCCTGTATGAGGAGCCAGCCCCTGCCACCGCATGTAGCCACCAGGCCTATGCATTCCCAGTACTGAGCCCCCACTGCCCTGCATGCCCTGCAGCATGCAGCTGGGTTCAGAGTTTAGTGATGACGTGCTTCAGATGGAATGAGAAATAGGGGAGAAAGGCAGCAGCTGAGACCAATAGCTACGTGTCCCAAGCTGCCCAGCTTCTGTGTGCTCAGACATGTCATCTAAAGCATCAGCCAGGAGACAGGCCAGGCCACTCTCTAGAACCCCCACCCCTTCCAGCTGCAGGAACTTCCCCATGTTGTGGCCATAGTTGCTTCCCATGACTTTATGAGAGGGATGGGACTGGGTAAGGGCTGAGATGCTCGGCCCTCAACAAACCCATCATCATGGTTGCCCAGCCACCTGCCTGCGAGTGTCCCCCCTCCTGGACACCTGACGCCGTCACTGCAGGGAAGGGTCCATCAGAAATGCAGAGACAAGAGAGAGAGGGATAGGCAGGTCCCTTCATGCCAGCCTGCCTAATGTGCTCTGCAATTAAACATGGTAGATTGACCACAGAGAGAGGAGCACTGATTCAAACCAGACAGGGATCCTGCAGCACTTCCTAGGCCACAAGGAGCCCATTTTCAGGCTGTGCAGGGCTCTTCCAGGAGAGGCAAAATCCCTTCCAGGAGGTAGGGAAGGAAGAAACCTGGGTACTGGGCTAGTGCAGTGTCATCAGACACCCTCCAGAGCTTCCCCGTCGGTGCGTGAGAGAGGAGAGCTGGGCAGGGGAAAAGCATAAATCCACAGGCACTGGCGAGAGGCAGAACTCTCTGCCCCCCAGAGGTGAGGTCTGAGAAGGAGCTCACAATAGTGCAAGAGGGGAGAGAAAGGGGCACCTGACACAGGGGAGACTGCAGTGTACCCAGGTTTGGGGGAAGGACTAAGATCTTGTGGAACATACTTCAGTGCAGGACAAAAGCCTTCTCTTTCCACCTGCCTAGCGGCCTCTCCTTGCCCAACACCCTGGAGAGGACTAGAGGGCAGGGTGAGCAGGATGGCGAAAAGGGAAATAGTGAGGCCGATACACGGGAGCTGTCAGACTCAACAGATCAATGATCCCTCTAGCCTGGGATCCAGTCTCCATCAAAGGCCAATGCTGGATGCTCAGAACGCCAACTGTGCGAGGCTACAATAACCGGGGGTCAGGAGAGACCTCTCCAGAGCCTCCCTCCCCTCAACGATCAGTTCCCACCATCTCCCACGCCCCCTGCAGTGCCTCACCTCCTGCAGCCTCTCGATGTGGGTCCGACAGACCTCCAGGTCACTATCTCCCGGAACCACAATGATCCCCAGGGGCACAGCTGAAAGCAAAGCACAGACATCTTAGGGAGCGGCCTGCTGCCAGTCCTCCCCCCAGTCACTGAGCCCCTGAGACAGCAGGGCCACTGCCCAGCGGAGGACAGCACCAGAGACACGGTGAGAACAACAGGGCATTGCCACTTTGTATAAAACAGGGCTGACCACAGCCACCCACAGAGACTACAGCTCAAGCATGCAATACTCCATCCGCAGACCATGGCTTCGTTACAGCAGAGCTGCGGCTGCCCAGAGCTGCCCCAATGGCCCTGTGGCCCAAAGTGCTCAAGGAGGCCTCACCCATCACCCCCTGGGATAGCACACTCCCAAAGCCCCCAGGCACCCGGGCTGGTCACTCACAGGCTTCCTTGAGCTTCTCCTTGTCGTAGTGAAGTGCCTCATAGTCATGCATGCTGATTCGGTTCACCCGGATTCGCAGCCGCTCGGGCACTGGTTGCTGGCTGCACGCAGGCAGGAGGAAAAGGGCAGGGGTTAGAAAGGAGGCCCTATAGATGTAGGCAGAAGCTCATAGCTACAGTAGCCCAGCCTCCTCCAGCAAGAGGCAACTGAGGAAGCTAGGCAAGAGCACTGTCTTAGGGAGCTCCCAGCTAACCAGTACTTCTCTCTCCCAGCAAGTGGTGCTGTAAGCAGAATGGGAGGAGCACTGGTGTGGCAGGCTAGGGACATGGGGTGACGTGCCCAGCCACTCCAGTACTTGACTCCCCCAGGAAGTGGTGCTGCAGGCAGTGTGGCAGAACTCCTTGCTAACCCAGTCCCAGCAGCAGGTGACAACAGTTAAGGCTTCATTTTCTGCAGCGGATGGCTCCCATAACGCAAGCCTCCTCTCACTCTCCTTCCAGTGTTGCCCAGAGATCCTTTGGAAGGTTCCCTGCTCATGCCTCTTGGAGGCAACTGTGAAGTGTGAAGAGCCGGGAGAGGCCACCCAGAATAAATGGTTGAATTATGCCCTCTTGGATTGGTACCACCCCATGCCCTGCTGCTGTGGAGGCGAGGAACCGATCCAAATTGGACAAGTAGCTGGGTTTGGGGCCCCCAGGGTTGCCCTGCGCCAGGTGAACGTACTCATTGAGTAGGGGCATGGAGTTGCGTCGCTTGGTCTTCTGCACCATATTGGCCTGGTTGCGCAGGGAAATGTGAATACAGGAGGCTGCCAGCTTGCATGGCTCCCCGTCCACCTGCATAGGAATGGCCTTGGATGTGGTGAGCATTACCTCCCGGCACTGGTGCAGCCGCTCTCCATGTCCACCCACCTGCAAGGCAGCCTGCAAACAGAACCAGGGTTACAGTGGGGCTGCCTGTGGCGAAAAGGCTCACAGCCATACCGTAGAGCAGCAGCATCCAACACCAAGTGGAGTCACAAGCAAACTGAGCTTGGAGGGGCTCAGCTCAGTCCCCAGGGAGAAGGAATCCACAAAGACCAGCACACGCTGGAGTCTCAGCTCTGGAGAGGCCCTGGGTGGGGAGGCAGGCGAGAGGATGCAGAGGCACACAAAGACCCCAGCAAACAAGGCTTATGGTGTTTGAATTCTTTCCTACCACTAGCCACCCAGGTGCAGGCTGGGGAGCGTTCTAGGGAAGGCTGCTCTGCTGTCCTGCACACAAGGCTCCGCTGTTCCTGGCAGAGGTCCCCCAAAGCTATACCTGGGGGGTGCACCTCCAGGGTCCTGCTCCTGACTACACTGAGCCATTCTGGCTGCAGACTGGAAGGTCCCACAGGCTCAGAGGATGGGTGCCGCCTGGAGCCCTCAGGCACAGCTGGATTTCAAGTCAAGGTCGCAGGGTCGGGAGCTGTGGGTCAGGCAGCGTGCAGGGCAACGGGGCCAGAACCTGCAGCTCCCCTGCCTGCTGCAGTGGCTGAGCTGATTTACCAGGGATGTCATGGTGAAGCCGATGACCTCAATGCAGCCATCGTCATGGCGCTGGGGCTCGAAGTCATGGTGCTCCCCAGGGTTGCCCCACGGCATGGTGCCCGCGCAGTACCTGCAGAGAGACAATGGGAGCAGAGTACCACCTGGGACCAACAGGGGGGCTCCTCAAACACCGGGCAGGGAGCAGCTCAGCATCCAGGGGTGCAGGAGCCACTCACCTTGGAATGTTCAGAAAGACAAGGCACTGGGGCTTCAGGTCCTGGATCTTGGGGGTCAGGTCTGTCTCGTCGCACTGAAAACAGACAGACGGACGGACAGACAGTCAGACACCTAGGGTGTCTGCAGGAAAAGGGCCCAGCCCAGCCCTAGTACTCTGGGGGGAATAAACTCCTCATTGCCTTCTGAGTGGGAGCTGTCGCCCTACAACACCCAAGGAATGTCCCTCATAGTGCAACAGCTGCCTCAGCCGCTGCGGTACCAGTTACTGTTACCCCAAAGGAATGATGCCCTGGATTCACCAATCCCCACCGCTCCCAGGGAACGATCCCAGCCCCTCCTCTCCAGACACTCACCACCACTTTGACGTGCTTCGCTAAGTCTTTGGAGCTGCCCGTGAGAAAGTCGGAAAACGCCGTCTGCCAACACAAGGGACAAGGTTAGTGCCTGGAGACCGCGTCCTTGAGCAGCAGCTGGATCGCATGGACCCTTCATGCTCTACTGAGTCTCAATTCAAGCCCCCGAGACTCCTGAGACTGGGCAAATCCTCTTCCAGGCCTCACTGCACCTTCGGCAGATTTCCCCCTCCTGATACAGTGCTGCAGATGCTCCTCACTCCTGACCTGACGCACCCCATGATAACCCAGCTCTGACAATGGACTTCAGTCCTAACTTGCAACCCCCCCATGTCCAGGCCGGGCCTCCAGGAGCAGCTGTGATCTAGGGCTAGGGCACCTCCTTCTCCAGGTGGGATGCAGTACTGGGTGCACGGAATGCAAGTTCATTCTCTGGCTGTGAGAAAATACGGCCAAACAAAAGTTATTGGGGCCAATACGGGAGCAAGACACCAGCCTCCTCAGTGCGAGGCAGTTATGAGAGGGCATGAAACAATATGACATGCAGTCTAGGGTAACACAGCTAATCCCCCAAACCCAGATCCTCAATGGGATGGACAGCTCTGGGAAGCAGAAGCAGCCAAGACGCAAGGGGAAGAACAAATTAGCCAGGGGGCTGCACTGCGATAGGGTTGGACAAAGGCTAATGCAACCTGGGGACTGCTTATGCAGAGACCTCATCCAAGGGCAGGAAGCAGATAATCACCCTCTAATACAGGTCTAGGGGGGTCCTGTCTGTGACACTGTTTTTGGGCCTGGGCCCCTCAGTACAAGAAGGCCAGTGGGAGGAGTTCAGAGAAGAGCTAAAACAATTATCATGGGGCTGGAGGGACATACTGATGGGGAGATTAAAAGAGCTGTGTCCTTATAGTTCAGACACCCCGTTAGTAGCTACCCAGAGAAAGCAGCTTTCGAAATCTCTAAGAGTAGCTGGAGCTTAGACAGACATCGCTCCTCTCCAAGGAGTCCCACACACTCACCCCAGCATAGAACATTTTATTCCGAAACCGGCTGTTAAATTTCTCTGGATTGGCCTCTAGGGAAAGAAAAAAAAAAAAAAAAAAGAAGACAGACGTTAGTGTCATTCACTCACTGCCAGGAGCAACTCAGCTGCCTGTCGCCCCAGCCTCGCTCTCCCAGGCTCACTAACCAGCCTCCCCCAAGACTCGCCAGCTGCCTCTCCCACATGCCTTGGTTTCTTCCTCCCCGCACCTTCATTCACGCACTCTCTGCAGCTTCCTCTCCCCTATCTGGTTGTTCCCACCCTCTTCCTGGTCAGTTCGCCCCACCCTCTCCCCAGTTGGTTCTCTCTTTGCCATCTCCCTACCACAAAGGCATTTCAATTGACCAAGCTGGGGGCACCCCCAGATTAGAAACCTGCTTCCCCTGTTCACCCCCCCTCTAAACCCCAAGATTCTCCCACTCTGCAGCCCAGCTCTGCGCAGAGAGCACCAGCCAGCCCTACTCCAGCCCCCACCTACCTCGAGATTCGTGGAACTCAAGTGTCACGCGAGCATCAAAGCCGAGGCTGAAATAGTTATTGAAGACATCGAGGGGAAGCTGAAAAGGGAAAAAGAGGAGGCCGAGGCTGGGAACCGTGGTGACCAGACATGGGGCTAGGAATGTAGGGTTACAGCAAGGGAGAGACCACACTTCACTAGCCATGTACAGGGGCCACTGCCAGCAGAGGGAGTAATTGAGACAGAGGCGGCTATTGGCCTGAATGAGGGATATACTGAGGGGGATGGAATAGCCCTTTCTGCTGCCCTGAGCACATCCATGCTCAGCCCTCAGCCCAGGCTCAGCATCCACACAGGCAGCGGGGATGCAGTGTCCAGCCCAGATCAGCACCTAGGGTGGAACAGGGTGGCAACTGCAGTCAGCGGATGCTTTCTCTGTGCCAAATGCACCAGGGGTTGGGGCCTGTTTCCCCAGGAACCTTCAGGATCCCCAGAGAGGGTTTTCCAGAGAAGCAGGGACGTCTCCTCTCCACCAAACCCCATTCCAGCTGCTCAGTCCCCCTTCTTACAGGGTCACTGCTGGCTCACCAAGCAGCCAGACGATCTCTGCTCCCTGAGACACTTGCTGTTCTCAGGGTATCTGAGCCAAAGAAATGGTCTTCTGCTTGCAGCGAGTCCTCCAAGTCTCTTGCAGACCTGCACCTTTGGGCCAGCTCTGGTTGCCACTAGCCCCTGGGGCAGGTTCTCCCAGATGGGATGCAGGGAGGGGCCTCTGAGCCACGAGGAGAGAAAGTGGAAACGGGGGGGAAAATACTCCCTGGGGAGTCGAGTGCTGCCTGAGCTGGGGATAGATGGAGAATGCTGGCCCATGGTGGAGGAGCTCTGTGTGTCTCTCACCTTGTCTGTGGCTGTCTCGTCTTTTTCCTCAGGGTTCACCTCGGAGTTTGGCTCCACCTGGAGATTCCAGCGGTCGAGCTGCACAATGTTTCCCTCCTCCACGTGAGAGAGGATCTTTGACAAGGGCTCGTCCGTGTAACCCTATGGGCCAAGGCGGAGCTCAGTGAGCCACCCAACTTGGCTCCCCTAACCGGAGAGCGGGTGTGCAGGGCCAGGTGCCCCAGAGCAAAGAGTGGGGAGAACACAGGGTACATAGGGCCGAGATTTGTCACTGTGTAACCTGCAGCCTAAAAGGCTCCGTCTCGGTGGGTGTTTTCCACAGTGACTCCCAGCCCACCACAGCGGCTTGCCAGGTGGCACAATTAGTTACTTCTCCCAAGGGGGTGGATTCCTATTTACAGCTGATGTCATTGGTGGGGGCAAAGGTGATCTGGGAAGAAACCAGGCCTCTGGGTGATGCATACACCACAGGGATCCCCATGTGCCAGCCACAGGCCAGTCCCAGCCCTGTGGCATCTATGCCACATTCCACACCTCCAGCACGTAGCCCTTACCACGTCCAGCCACACCCGCCCCTCACTGCACTCACCTCCTCTGCTGGGAACTCTTGGGCACACTGTGCCCAGCTCCAAGATGGCAGTGCATGGAGTGCAAGTGGGAAAGCTCCCAACGCCAGAGAAAAGAGCTCAGCTTCCCCCACGCACACAACCCTGACCCCGGGGGCTTAGCTCCGCTTCTCCCACACACCAAACCTCTGTCCTGCCATCACAGCTCAGACCCCTCCTCCCCTCCAACCACCTGTGCCCAAGCTTGGGAGCCAGTAGTACCAGGGCCCTATGAGCCCCCCCGCCCAGGGCAAGTACCCCTCTCCGCCCCCTGCCCCTGAGTCACTTACCCCGCCCCAGTTCAGAGTCCTGGCCAGGTCATTCCCTGTCCCCAGAGGGAGGATGGCTACAGGAGGAGGGGGATTCAGACGTAACTGGTCCAGGATGGAGAGGATCCACCCCACCTGGCCAAACACCAAACAGGCAGCTGGTTACTTCAGAGCCTTAGGGGGCGATCAGCTTGAGGGGGTAGAGAGTGTTACCAAGAGCCAGAGACGAGGAAGATATGGAGACTGCCCCCCGCCCCACTCTCCAGCCGTTACAGGAGATGCCCCGACGGCTGATCAGCCCCTTTCTATACCTAACCTACACTGGGAGCGTGAGAGTTAATCTTCCAGGAGTGCTGCAGACAGCATAGACGGGGGAAGCCTGAACTCACTCTGGCTCCCAAACTTTGCCCAGCTCAGGGCTGTGCCAGCAACTCGTCAGGAGCTCCAGGGCTGCACCTAAATGGCATCAAAAGGAGACCATTGCAGCCACCCTCATCTCTAGTATGGAGATGTAGCCCACAAAGCTAGCTTCTGAGATGAAGATGGAGCATGGCATGCTGGGACCTGTAGTCACAGGGGGCTGTGAGCCATATTATAGAACTTGGGGGACCCATTTTGCCCACCTCTGGATTAGATCAAGGAAGCCGCCACCTCTCCTGGAAGGGCAAGGGGTTTGGATCAAGGCACCAGCCACGTCCCTTGACAACTTAGAGGTCAGAGTCACTCACCGTGCCATCCCCCCCACACGCCAGGATCCGCAGGTTGTGCACTTTCCGATACATCTCCAGCCTGCAGGGAAGCAGAAAGCGGAGGGGATCAGGGAAAGGCAGGAGAATCACGGAGACGCTCGAAGCTGGGAATGCACCAGCCAGTGTTTGCAATGGGTTCCTCTCTCAGGCGGTCCATTAGAGGAGTCACAATCCTGGACCCCTCTCTTCACCCTAGAGCCTCACGGCATTTGACACAGTGTAATGAATTTATCTTCACAGGCCCCTGGAAAAGGAAGCCAGGATTATTATCCCCATTGTACAGATGGAGAAACGCAGGTGTAGAGAGGGAATGGGACTGGCCCCAGGTCACAGAACAGGCTAGTGACAGAGCTGGGAATAGAACCCAGGAGTCTGGCTCCCAGCCCTGTGCCTTAACCATTCGGCCATCCTTCCTCCTGGAAACACAAGGGAGCCAGGACTGACTGGGAAGTGAAATGGGATCAGTCCCCAGAGACACTTCCCAGGCTTTGAACTTGCACTGGGTGTCCAGCCACACAGCTCTTCCCAAGGGCCTTTCCTAGAGCGTCAGTCCCTCACTAGCGGCCAGCTGGAAGAGAAGGGGCCAAAGCTCCTATTGGAGGAGACAGTGGGAGAAGGGGATGGGGCTCCCTGAGTCAGTACTCACGCCTCTTTGGGGCCGCCCTGGTTGAGGTCAAAGACTTGTCGTGGGTTGAGATACCACATGAAGGACTGGATGATCTTGGCTCCCTAAAAGGATGAAAGACTTCAGGAAACAGTATACAGACAATCCCAATGGGATGGTGGGGGGCAGGGAGGAAGCAGAGCCTTAGACAGAGGTGAGAGGAATCTGCAGTCCTGGGTAGTCAGGCAAGGCCTGGCCTCAAGAGGAGATGCCAGGGAGTAAGCTGCTTCTGTATTTGCAGCTGAGACATCACCAAACATGCTGGATTCTCAGCAGTTGGGATGCAAGGCCTCCATGGAGCTGGCTATCCAGGAACATGTCAGAAAATGTCCCTACCTGATTCCCACCACTCTTGGGGTTCACAAACACCAGCAGGGGCTTCATGAGTGGGGCTGGCGTAGGCTTGATGACAAAGGGTTTCCATCGCCCCTCCTGCAAGAGACACCACAACACCATCAATAAACATGGGGAAACACAAGCTCTTGCCTGCAACTGAAATTTAAAGACACTAAGGTCTGAAGTTGGAGACAAACTACTGAACATTCCAGCCACCCCCAGAACCCTAGCACCAGGATCCACCCTCCCAGCCCCAAGGGCAGCAGAGGATCCACCCCCCATAGCCCTAGCACCAGGATCCACCCTCCCAGCCCCCAGGGCAGCAGCAGGATCCACCCCCCAGGGCCCTAGCACTCCAGTGAGAGTGGGATCCACATGCCAGCCTTTCTGTTCTTTTTAAACACCCCTTTGAGATATCGTACAATTGCAAATGACCCTCATATCCCAGCACCTTCCCTCCACCTCATTTTTCTCCGCTCCATGTCTCAGACCATACCCTGTGACCAGCAATCTTCCTTCTCCAACTCCCATTCCCCCCCCCCCCCCCCCCCCCCCACCCTCCCTCCCCCACCCCCCCTCCCCCCCCCCCCCCCCGCCAATTCCCAGTCAACACAGGCCTCATTCTCTGACCTCCGCCCCCTTTTTGCTGGATTTCCGCTTGAACGACGTCCTCTTCTTTTTCTTACTGGATTTCAGTGTATTCTAGCAAAGGAGAAAAACCATGTCAGCAGCTGCCAGTCGAGCAGGAGCTGCTAATTAAACAGGAGCGAAGCCTGAGGGAGCGACTCACCTGGGGGCGCCGGACCCGCAGAATCCAGGTCGGCGGGACGACGACAGCAGCATGAGCCCCCAGCGAGCACGGCTCCTCAATGCATTGCAGCATGAAGCACGTCACCTTACTGTGATACTGCGAGGGAGACAGAACGCAGCACTCGATTGCTGAAGCCTGGCCTGGGAAGCCCAGTTCTGAACACTCACAGCACCTCTGCCTCCAGCAGGGAGCGCTGTAGGAAATGCAGCAGGAGCCTAACAATGTGAAGGCTCCCAACAGGAGGCATTGCAGGAAAAGGGCGGGAACCCTGGCTGTGAGAGGCGCTCCCAGCTACTCCAATCCCAGCCTCTCTCAGTAAGAGGTGCTGCAGGGTATGGAGCAGGAGCAGCAGCTGTGGGGAGCTTCCAGCTTGCACCAGAATGCACCTGGCCATCAGAAGTCATTAGGCCATTAACTCAGAGTAGGGCTGCACTCACCGCTTGCTTACACCAGGAACAGCTGATGGCTACAATCTCCTTGCTGTGAAAGGCAAACTTCTGCTGGAAACCCTGCAGAGGGAAGGAGGCGGGTCGTGAGGCTCCTGACAACTCGCCGCAGTGCAGCGAGGGGCGCACAGGAAGAGGAACAGCAGCTCCCCAGCTACGGCAGATGTTAGCCACAAGAGTCCTTCTGCAGCCAATGCAGCTCAGGTCTCAGTTGGACAGTTCCCTACCCACAGCCCTGGCATGAGGGAATTCAACATGTTTGGGACAAGTATCTCCGGACCCGAGGGCAAGGACCCAGCCAAAGGTGCCTGGGGGGTCCCTCCAGAACAGATTGGGAAATCAGTTTGTGTGGAAATCTTATGACTGGATGGACGTGGGGATTGAGGGAGTGCTGTCTGTGCTGCCAGTAGGCGGCAGTATGGGGAATGGTAGCATCACTGCCTGCGAGGGGGCTGCCCCCTCCCAGCAGGGCTTGTGCGCATCCTGCTCCAAGTGGTTCCTCTCTATGTTCCCCACACCTACCACCTTCCCCTTCCCTGCCTAACCTCAGCTTTTCTTCAGCCCTTCTCACCTTTCCGCACTGCCGGCACTTCCCTTCCTGGCGTCTCCGGTGCACCCAGTGATGCCGGACGACTATGGGCTAAACGGAAACACAAGGGCCAGGTTCAAAGAGAACGCAGAGAAAAGTACGGACTTGATCCTGTTAGCACACTCCTTGGCTGGGACCCACAGTGGCCTGGCCTCTTCTGTGGCCCATACGGAATGGAATCCTCCTTTGTAATCTCTTTAGCGCCAAGAGGATACTGCAGAAGCCCCATGGAACATCTCAGCCCAGACACTGGAGAGATTCAGAAGCACGAGCACTCAGCTCTGGGAGAGGCCAGGGAGATGAGAGCCCAGACACAGGGTACCTGACTGAGATGCCAGGTGCCTTATCCTCCAGTGCTGCTCTCAACAACCCCGAGGAGAAACCCATGTGGGGAGGGGAGGCGGAAACCCTATCGTGAGGTGCACGTCAAAGGTTTGTTCTGGTACATTTGGGGGGCAAAGAGAACACCCAGGCATGTTTGCATCATGAGAAAGGAATCTCAACCAGGCTTGGTTGAAAACGCTGGAGAGAACTGTGGGTGAGATGAGCTTCTTTAGACAGGAGGGTAACTTGTTCATTACGTTTAGTCTCTAGAAAGGTATTGTGATTTTGTATTATACGTAACCATTTGTTTCCAATATTCTTACTGTCACCTGACTCTCTGTTCTTTGATAATAAATGTATTCTTGTTTTCACTGGGAATATGTGTAAGTGCTGTGTGTTTAGCAGAGCTGTGTAGTCAGCTTTGGGACAGCAGGCCTGGTAATTCTGCGAGCGTCCCGTGGAGCAGGGGCTGGACTCTAAAGGGGATGCTTGGAGGACAGGGAGGTTAGGGTGCCTATTGCTAACCTGCAGAGAGAAAATAAGGTCTGCGGAAGCTTGGAGGGGAGTGTTTGTGTTGCTGGAAGCTGATGGAGTCAGGGAGCTGACACACAGCAGGCACAGACAAGACTTCCTCACCCTAACGGCAGGTGACAGCGAGGTGCCTCACAGCCCTGGGTACCCTGGGAAGTGTCACAATTATGACGAATAATCAGAAAAAGAAATGCCGTGAATCCACGCTGTCCCCCACCCCCCATGGCAAACCATTTCTCTGCCACAGGCCGAATGGAAAACAGATGCCCCACCTAGCTCACGGTCACAGAAGACACACTGGAGACACCTGCGGCCCTGAACACAGATGACGAAGGCAAAGAGCTGAAACTGCTGAGCTCCAGACCACATCAGTCACTGAGGAGAGAAATTAAGTTCCTCCAAGCTCCCTCTGCTCACCCTGTTCTCCCAGCAGTCCAACTTAATCATGAGTGGAGCTAAATCCATATGGCGATAGTCAGCCAGCACGTGCTGCCTGAACTGGCGCCTCCTCACGCTGGCAACAACAGAGTGAGGGTCATTCAAACAGAGCCATCTTCTCTGTGCCTGAGCCTGGGAGCCCCGTGGGGCAGGGGCAGCTCGTTCTGTGACAGGGGACCGCCAAGCACAGTGCTGGTCCCTAACAGCTACCGGGATGGCATGTCCACTCTCCCCAACCAGGGGAGTAATTTTAGGGAGAGATGGAAGAAGGAGGCAGTACATTTCCCCCAGCTTGTACTGGGTGGTGAGGAGGGGGAAAAGTGGTGCGTCTGTTTAAACACAGCGTTTCTTCTCTCTTCCCCCCAATTTTACTCCTCCATCTGGAGGGGAGAAGGAAGAAGCACAGGGTGGGGAGCATAGGGGAGTCCGAGTTTGCTGCTTAGTCCAAGAGCACTCTCTGCCCCCCTTGCTGCCGAACAGCTGCTGTCCATGCATTCACACCTTTGTTTATTCTTCCTTCCCTAGGTTCTGCTTCCTACTGTACAGTGGTTGGAATGATGAATTCTGGAGGGTGCTTTCCTTATAGCACCGTCAAGGTCTGGGATCTAACCCCTATATCCTGGTTAAAGCTGGTAAGGTAAGTTTGAGGGATAAGAGAGCCCAGATACCATAACGATGGGCACCTTGGAAACAGATTGGATTAGATTCTCTATGGAGACCGCAGAGGAGAGATCCTTGGGTGCTTCTAATCTAAAAGCTAGTGCAGTAGCTGTTCAGGTGAATCCCAGGTGTGCGTATTCCCCATGGAGATCCCTGGCCTACGTCCTACCAAAAGCTCCTCTGGACATGTCTGCTAGTTTGGAACTGCCTTAGGGACTAGTTTGTGTGGATACTCTCCAGTTCCCTCCACCCCCACCTTTCAGCACCATGGAGAGCTCCACATCCCTAGGGAAGGCACAGGGTGCTGTTGCTGGTCACACCCCTGCAGCACAGAGGTTTGCAGGAGAGCTCCTGAGGGGGCATTACTGCGTTTCTCCTGAAAGCGGTGCTAGGCAGCCATTTACTCCTTCCTGGGTCGCACTGTAGGGCATACTGGAGAGATGGCAGCAAGGGGCACCACACGGGAAATGGTTTAAAGTGCTACAGTGCACGTTTAACCTGGCCTGGACACAGCCATGCAGTACAGACTATAGGGGACAATCCTGCCCTGGCTGGGAGAGATGAAGTAGATAGGACCTAACAGACATACAAGTCAGAGTCCCCACAGGTGAGAGGTGCACAAGAGTTAACTAGGGGCAAGTTCAGGTACTGTGGCAATAAGTGCAGCTAACTGGGCTGGGCGATAGAGCAAAAACCCAGCTCTTCTCCCCGAACTCCACACAACCTTCCAGGAGGCCTGCAAAAGTTCAACTGTTCTTTCATTCTCTCAGGGCCAGCACCAGATGGGCTGAAATTCCTCCTGGGAAAGGCTGGCCTTGAGGTGTCTTTGGCCCAGCCTCGCAGGCCCAGGAGGTTCTGAGAATGCAGATCAGCAGCTGACTGACCAGAAGCGGATCTGCCCCTGAATGATCTGAGATTCGCCCCATACTAGCACCAATCCCGTGCAGGTGCATTCAAAGAAATGCCCCACAGGATGGGTGACCGTGCCCCTTCAGTGCCCAGAGGTTTCACAGGTAGCACAGACTCAGGGGCTCCTGCCACACTTGAAAATGCCCAGACTTTCTGCTGCTTCCACAACAAACCAAGCTAAGCCGCTTCCCCAGCACCCTGAGCCCTCTGCCACCAAACTAGAAGGGGACGGGACTTCCTCCTGGCAAACACAGCAAGCAGTCCAGCTGAGTCTCGCACCTCCCGAACGTTCCTTGATCCCGACTCCCTGAAGGAAGGTTTGCAGCGGAAATTTATCTGCAGATTTAACACACACAAGAGAGGCATCTGTGAAACCATCTACTAAAAGAAACCTACTGGAGTCGTGTTCAATGTGGCAGGCCTGGGAGCCTCCTGGGACATTTGATGCTTATCTGGGATCCTCATCCAACCCCCTACCAAAGGAACAATTCACCAGCCCTTGGGGCTAAAATGCCAGGAGATCTGCTAAAAGTCTGTTTCCCCACTAAACTGTCCCCTCAGGAGGCAACTGCCTGTCACGACAATGGTTAACCAAAGCACATGGGGTTCAGTGCTGGCCCCATGCTGTTGCCCAGGTAAGGGGTAACCAGCTGTTCAGGCCCAGGAGCGACCTGTGTTGGGCTTTACTCACTTTCTCCAGCTGTTCTATGCAGGGCGTATGCACTACAATTTTGCAGGCTGCACACTTGCGTCTGGTCAGAGGTTTCTGCTGAAAAAGGGAAAAGTCCCTATGTTAACGTCAGTATTTATTTACACTCTGGAAGCCTTGGAGCTCCACTAACTCCTCCTCCACTCCGAGGCGGGCACTCCTGAGAGCGAGCAGCTCAGCACGCTACAGGATGGGAAGCCATAAGGATCACCGCAGGTAAAAAGCCTCCTCCCTTGATCTGAATGCTCGACCCTCAGCCTGCCTCAGCCCCGCCCTGGGGCAAGAGGCGAAGGCACTCTCCATTGGCCGATCACTCCTCAATCTCTTCTGACACTGGCATCAGGCAGCCAATCACTGCCACCTGTGGCAGTTTTGGTGCTGCCTATCAAGCTGTGACCCCAAGCTCATTTCACCCAGACCAATGAACATCCATCAGATGGGCACCATCCTCAGACCCCAGCACTCGCAGCTGGACGCAACCTGTACTTAGAGAGGGATGGCTGCAGCGTCTCCAAGGGCGTTGCCCCTATGGGCGGCCCAGCCTGCAGTCATGTAACTGCAGGGCATGGGCTTCCACTTTTTGGTTCTTCCTTATTGCAAGATCCTTCCTGGAAAGTTCTGGAATTAAATTATCTCTTGGGGCAACTGGGGTCACTACAGCCACTCACAAACTCTCTATCAACTCAGCCAGCTGGATCCTAGCCACGGAGATACCCAGAGGCCCTGGCGCCTGCTGCCAGCTCAGATGCAGCAACTTTCCAGACTCAAAGCAGCATTAGCAGCAGGCAGAATCTAGAGCAGAACATTTTCCATATCCCTCACTGGCCCCACAAGTGTTAACCCCTTCTTTGTTGGACCCCAGAATGCCTGAGAACTTCCACTGGGGTTCTCACAACAAATTTTTGGTGGGCTCAGAGTGCGGCCACCAACTCTTGCTGGTGGCCGCTCTAACAATTTTTCCTAAAATACTTGTTCAATTTTAGGAAAAACTCAATAAATATGCACATACACATGTCCAAACCATTGTAATTTATTTATGTGGGTTTTTTTTTGCAGACTCAATAATAAAAATAATGTACAGTTGTCTCTATTCTTTATAAACAGAACAGAAACACAAATAAGGTGCTTAGCATGTTCTTGTCTTTTTTTTTTTTTTTTCTTCTGCATTTCTTGTTGTTTTTTTGGGGGGGGGGGACTGGCTAGCTAGTAAGTCTGCTGTGAAAAGTGATATTATAACTAATATACAAATATCACTTTTCACAGCAGACTTACTCAGCTCCAGCAAGCCTGGGGACAAATTAAGCCCTGGATAGGAAGGTGGGTACAGCGGCAGCAAGGGCCAGGGGCAATGGGAGAAGCAGCGGGGACCAGAGGTGATGATGAGGGCTAAGCTTGGGGCTAGAGCCTGCCACCGCGCAGTCAGGGAATGGAGACTGAAGCCTCACACACAGGGGATGGGGATGGAGCTCAAAGCCACATGGGTGGAACCTGCCACCCCAAGGCTGAAGCCTGACCCCACCACCCCCGGGAAAGTGGGGAACTCACATTGGCTATCTCCCCAGAGGGGGGCAAGGCCCAACCACTGATGGCAGCCCTAGGGGAGGGGCTGCTGCTTTGGGCCCCTCCCTCTATCACCACCCAGCAGGCTGTGGGGGCAAGAAAAGACCTTGGTGGCTGCATTTGAGAAATGCCAGGCTACTGAGTGCAGAAAGGGATCCCCAGGTTTTTCCACTAGGTGGCAGCGCAGTCTTGTATCTAGACCAAGCCGAGCTGACAACGGGGTCACAGTGCCTGACTTACCAGCATCTTGGCCACACAGTTCTGTTCCCCCACATAGCAGAAATCCCCAGAGCCGCTGGTCTCAAACCAGATGTGCTCCCCATAGATTGCAGTTTCCTGGAAGGCACAAGAGATATCGTTGCACTTCTCCAATGGGCAACAAGAGTCCCCTCACTGTCAGGACCTGGCCTCGGATCCCAGCAGTCACCTCCAACATGATGAATATCCCAGCTGACCATCCCAGATCCACAATACATTGTGCTACAGAGCACCGCTGTGATCACAGGCTGCACAGAGGCCCACTCTCCAGAGCCAGGGCATATCCAGAAAACCTGCCCAAAGCTCCCACCATGGCCCAGACATGTCAGAAATGTAAAAGTACTGCCCGTAGGATGCTATCCTGTCTAGCTGTAAACAATGGGGCTGTCCGGGAGAGGATTCTCCTGGGCAAATTCACCTCATTGCTAAGGAGTTTTCCTGAGATTCAGCTTACATTTCCCCCTTACTTCCCGTCACCCGCTCAGCCCCAGTGTCCCATCCGGAGGTTTGCACCCCTCGCTCCGTTACTGGCAGACTGTCACGGCTCCACTCACGCACTGCTGAGCTGAACTGGACACATCTCTCCTCACAGGTCAATCCCATCAGCCCCCTGACTGTTTCTGCTCTTCTCTGAATGCCCTTCACAGTGTTGCAGGTGAGACCCATCCCCTCTCAGCTTCCAAACACAAGGCTTCTGGGGACGAGGGGACCAGAGCAGAAGGCACTATCCCAGCTAGGTCTCCCCACAGTTGTAGAGAGGGATTGTCCCCACCCTGCACCAGGACACGAGGCCTCTGAGGATGCAGCTCACAATGGGTTCAGCTTTGTCTGTGCATCCCCGACAAGGAGAGCAGTGCCTTCCACCACTCACCAGGTCTCCATTCCCACGTGCAGAATGGATGGCTGCGTAGTAGCAGTGGGGAATGAGAGCGAATGCACTGTCTGTTTTCCCCAGCATCAAGGCACTTTACCCAGCAACATCAGAAAGCACCAGCTGCTAGCCACAAGCTACGAATGTCAAAACAGGAGCCACCTGGTACAGCCTTATGGCCCTCCTCCTGGGAATGGCCACAAGCCGAGTCAGCCACTGTAACATCAGAGAGTCCCCTCCCAAGCACCAAGGAAAATTAAAGGCAACCTACACTCCAGTCCACAGTGCTGCGGATCTGCCTCTCTGATTCACTCCTCAGGGCTAGTGTGGGGTTCGGCTGGGCTACCATGTGCTGGAGGCCGGACTTGGCGATGGCTTTCCTGGAAGAAAGAGGGAGGGGTGGCTATAAAAACAGGCGGGAACATAAATGCACGCAAGGCATCATAAGCTCTTCAGAAGGAAGAGGCTAAGGGGGGCAGAGCATCGTTCATTAGTATCACTCAAAGCCAGAAACCTGGGCTGAGGCTGAATTCACTATAATGACAGGCTGGGCAATATCCAACCTTCCTGCATCACCAGCTCATCCTCATGGTGTAAGGTTCCCTGCAGTGGTGAGATATAGGCTCTCACAAGCCACACCTACACAGTATGCCCCTCTAGTGGTGACTGGGCCACAGAGTAGCTTGGGAGTCTGCTAGAGCCCTTGAGTTACAGATCTGGGTTTTGCCCAGGCAGTAGACGCTCATGTTTTTAGATCCAGAGGCCCTGAGGGTTGATGCCCCACTCAGGGGCATCACATTACACACAAAAAGCTTCCGACTTGACCTGGTGGGAGTAGCCCCTCTTCCCAAAGATGGGCAAAGGTCACAAGGGTGGGGACTCTTCCTGAAGACATTGGGACATCCCAGAGATGCCCCCTCTCACTTGAATGTCACAAATGGACAGAGAATCGAGAGCCAGCAGAAGTGAGGCGGAGTGCGGTGAGAAGTGGGGGAAGCAGCTCACAGCCCCTGCTCACAAGAGGCTCTCGCTGTCTCCAGGTCAGCAGCCATTCGCCTGGGACTGACAACCTTAGCAAAGATTTTGACCCCTCCCACCATGGCAGTGCCATTTCCAGTAGCTGCCAGGGCAGGGAGTTGTGCAGCCTCTGAGCCCAGCAGCCAGTGGAGCTGGGCATAGAAAGCCAACTGGAGAAACTGGACACATCCTTCCCCCATCCCAGAAACATCCCCTCTCATGATCCCTTATTCACGCCTGCACCCGGCACCAGCAGCTGGGAGAAGCAGCAAGCACAGGGGTACTGCAAACAGCCTGAAAACAAACTCAGCAGCCAATCAGACACACACAGATGGACAAGAGGCTGATTGGCCTTTGATCAGAGGAGAAGGAAATGGAGACGCTGACTCCCTGGCCTCTCCTAGTCCACAAACCTATGGAGCATATGGCTGGGAGCTGCAGCTAGGCCTGGCAGAGGGTCCTGTGCTAGCCCCTTCCCTCATCCTACCCCAAGGTCCCAAGCAGACCCTCCAGCTCCCTCTCCCCCCCCCTCCACTTGCCCTGATCCAGCAGGGTTTGGTACTCCATGCCAATGCGTCAGCCATACCCTCACCTTCCCCACCCCATGCCAGATAAGCTAGACACCCTATGCCAATCTCTGCTCCCTTCAATACTGCCCCAGCCACAGCCTGGACTATCACTCTGACCGCCCCCCCCATTGGGAACACCATACATACAGCAGCTGGGGGCTCCAGGCTTTAGGGAAGGCACTGGCATAGTTGCCATAGGCAGGCTCCATTCCCAAGCATTCATATATGGTTTCTGATGGCCGCCTGGCTCTAGCAGGAACCTTCCATCTCTTGGCAGCCAGCCGTGCTCTGCATGGTGGGAGCAGAGTGCCTGGCCTGGGGATCTCCCCTGAGAGCAGTGGCTGGCTGAGGCGTCGGTAATAGCCCTGCAGCCCGCAGGCTGCCTTGCTGTACACAAAATCTGCAGGCAGGAGGTGGGTGGAGCGGCGGCGCAGGCAGCCTGGAGCTTGCAGGAGAGACCTCATGCCGATAGGGTGCAGGGCAGGGTGCCTGCTCCTTGGGGGAAGCTTAGCCTGCAGCTCACGCCGATCCAACCTGGCTCCTGAGGCGACAGTCTCCTCCCTGCCACAGCCCTCCTTTAGCTCCTCCCAGGGCGACTCGGATCCAGAGCCTTCGGCACAGGTCATCCGCCTCCCTTCCTCGCTTACTTGGATGAGGCTGGCCAGTAGCATGGAGGGGCCCATGAGTTGGGTATCGATGGTGCGCACCTGGCCCCCGCGCTTCTTCTGGACAGCAAACCTGGGGCTGAGGTGGGGTGGGGTGGTGCTGGAGCGACGCCGGGGGCTCATGCTGCCCTTGTCTGGGGAGCCCAGGCAGGAAAAGCTCTGCAGCTGGGTACTGGACCTGCGGCGGCGCTGTGCCAGCGAGGCCGAGGGCATGCCCACCACGGAGCGCCGCCTGGCTTTGCCAGTGGGCACTGACACAACGCTGGCACGCTGGGAACCCAACGACGACACCTTCCTCCTGAAGTGCCTTTTAAAGAAGGTGTCCATAGTGACTGGGGGTGCCCCGAGCAGTGGCTGTTAACACAGAAACCAGCAATTAAAGGGGGAGGGGCTCTCGTCAAACCTCCTACAAGGTCTGCAAGCCCAGTCAGGGATGGGTACTACCACTCTCTGCAGGGAAGGATGCTACGAGGGAGCTCTGGGGGGACTCAAAGGGTACTGTTGTGAGGGGCATCAGAGAGAAAGAGGAAGGGAGGGGGACACAGGGGAAAGCTAACATGGGGTGCTGCTGCCAGGAGACCTATACCGGATATTACAACATTAGAGGCCAATGCAGGGCAAGGAAACCCCTGCATAAGGCGAAAAGGAGAAGTGGGATGGTGAGAAGCCTGAAGGGCTTTTCTGGTGGTTCAGGAGTTGTTCATGAGTGATGAGGCAGAACACCTAGATTTGGGGACGTCCCATACTGGACCAGCTGGCAGATAGGAGACAAGTCCCAACCCTGCACCCGAGGACAGCTAGGGGCAGTTATCTCCATGCAGGAGATGCCAGCCTGGATTTGCAGCCATTCTCTGCCTTCCAAGGCAGCTGGGGATGGGAATGCTGTGGAGGCACCAGACTCAGCCCCACTAAGGGGTGTACAACATTGCTCCCTTCCTGCCAATATACGGAGCACCTCAAGGATGCTCCAATTTCACGCCCCCCCCCCCCCCGGGGGGTTGCTGACCACGGCTAGGACAGGAGGGAGGGAAAGGTGTTGGGTGTGATCTGGCCTCCATCTGGGTTACAGGGTCCCTGCAGAGATGAGTGCCATTCATTCTGCCCCGGGAGGGAGCGGAGCTGGGACCAAACCAAAGAGGGACAGCTCCAGCCCCATGGTCCAGTTCTGGGAAGGGGTCAGGACTGCAGATCCCAGCCCTTCCACTGAACAGTGAACAGATTCTAAGCCCCCACTTGTCTTGACTACTAAAAAGTACATGTCTGATGGTGCTGGAAAAGGGCATAAGCAGGAAGGAGTCTTCACAGGGGACCCCTACTCCAACCCAGTCTCCTGGTTAATAACAGCGCAACAGTGTATGCTCCTGCAGCAGCTTTCCACAGAGAGAGACCCACAGCACCCTCTTGAGTACAGGACTCCAACCTCAGTCCTAACCGAGCAGAGTCATGGACACCCCTGGGGAGTCTGGGCCTGGGTGCAAACTCAGTCCACCACTTGCTGGTTAAAAGGAGACCTGCAATGACGGAGCACCTCAGCGAGAGTCACAGTGCCACTCTGCAGACAAGTGCTTTTCTTTGGCCCGGTCTATGCTTAAACGTTTTCTCCACATAGCTGTGAAAAATTCCTGTCCCTGAGCACGGTAACTATGCCAACCCCCCCCGCCCCGGTGTAGATGGACGAATGCTTCTGTCGCCCTAGCCACCGCCACTCAAGGAGGTGGATTACCTACAGTGCCAGAAAGACCCCTTCCGTTGCTCTGAGAAGTGTCTACACTATGGCACTACAGCGACGAAGGTACAGCACCGTAGCTGTCCTGCTGTAGCGCCTGCAGTGTAGGCATGGCCTTAAAAGGATGCAGCCACGAAACACCATTCGCCCCTTGGGTTAGGGACCAAGCAAACGTTTAGACCTAATGCACTTGTCCCCACTGAGGCGGTTTCTGTGCCTTTCCCAGTATGCTGAGCTGGGCAGAGTTACTCTCTGCTGCTAGTTCCCTCTGTATCCCGCCTCCATCACCATGGGAGCTGGCTCCTGAGGCTCCTTCTCTTGTACTCTAGTTTTCTCTTTCTATGTCTCAGGGACTAGCCCAGGCTGCTACTGATCTCCTGGTTCCCATCACTGGAGGAAGCTGAAGGATCTCATTGTTTAAACACAAATGCCCTGTCAGCACTGAGTTTACAGCCCGTTCCTAGAACCATTGCTCTGCAAAGAACTTTAGGTAAAAAACCGAACTGACATTTTTTAAAGCCAGGTGTAAATGTTGGACTTAGCACTGCTGAGAAGAGATTCCCTTTAAACCAAACTGACATTCGCCTACATTCTCACTTGAGGATGAGGTAACATGCTGAGCAAGACTGAGCATGGCACAGAATGCTTTCAATGCAGGTATCTGGGAGCTCCCTGCTCCAGTTACACAGTGATTCCTGCTGGATTTCCCATAGTCTGCAGGAGAACAGCTCCCTTCCTGTGCATATCCCAAGAGCGCATTGACGATAGCTCCCCTCTGGGAGATTTTGGGAAGACCCCCTCTTTGCCCACTACACTCTGCTACTCAATTTCCTCCCTCTCCTGCCACCCCATCAATTTCTCTACTCGTAAATTCTAAGCACGGACATTTCAGACATTACAGAATTCTAGACATATCAGATCTTAGCACTCAGTTTACAAGTAGAAACTAACAGTAAATGTAGGGCAGAAGGTGCCTGCCTAGCACTTGAAGAGAATAGAGACTGGCAAGAGACTTGGAGCAGGGCTGGGGAAATAATCATATCTGCTCTGCTCAAAACCTCACTCTTCAGCTGGAGAGAGCTTTACATGACTCTCAAGCTCTCTCTGCCCAGTGCTGTCAGGTTGCCAACATACTGCAGCTGCAGGAGAAAAGCTTTGAGCAGCAGATGGAGAAGGCTTCAGCACTGGCCTGATGGGCACATTTTTAAATGGAGGCGATGTTATTTGACCAGATCCACACTCCCATTCTCCAGCTAGCAATTCTCTTCTGCCTCTCCAAACTTCAGTTTCCAGCCACGTGTCCTCAGCCTCCATCCATTTCTTCTAGCCTTAATCCCAGCTACATAGGGTCGGCTCTTTGAGTCCTTCTTCTCTATTCCACTGTCTTGAAGTTTCTTGGCTAG